ATTCCACAATCTAGTATCTCAGATTCTCTAGTCTGATTGCGGCTTAAAGCCCAGTGTCCACGATGCTAGAAATCCGTCAGAGATCTCGGATGAAGAAAGAATTGACCAATCGCATTGATCATTTGACTAAATTGTTTAAATGTGATTGGTTAATTCTTTCTCTCTCCGAGATCTCGAACCAATTTCTAGCATCGTGGACACAAGGCTTAAGGCTTGACTGCGTTCAGCAGAGAAAACTAATCAATTAGTGCTTAGTGATTCTTTAATACGATTGGTTCCTACACTTAGATTTTGCGAAGAACTGAGGGTAAGAATCAATCATATTAAAGAATCACTAATAAGCTATTAACTGATCAATTTTATCTGCTGAACGCAGCCATTCACATGAAGCGTAACTTGCATAAGCGTAACTTGCGTCAGCCAATCAAATCGTCTCAACTAGAATAACGCGTAGTAGTTTATACAATTTGATGCGATTTGATTGGTTGACGCAAGTTACGCTGTATGTGAAAGCAGCCTAAAGCTGCAGTCGTCTATAATGGGCAGTAGCAGTAGTGTTAAGGCCTGTTCTACAATAGAGTCGTAAGCGGTAAGCCGTAAGAAATTAACCAATCGTAGTCGATTATTCTTCTCACACTTAACTGTGATTGGTCAATTTCTTACGGCTCACGACTCGCGACCCTATTGTAGAACAGGCATAAGGAGCGTTTATACTAGCCGTAACCGTATGCCGTATAACCGTAATCTGTAAGAATTAACCAATCACAGTTGAGTGATTCCTCTCTCATTCGACGAGGAAATACTCGAAGATAATTGATCAATTTGTACGGATTACGGCATACAGCATACGGTTACGGCCAATATAAACGCTCCCTTATACACGGGAGTAAGCTGATTTTCCGATACGATAGGACATAAAGTAAGTACGCGTTCAAACCTTGACGGAAAAGCAGAAAGCGAAAAAGCAGCACCCAATCAAAACTCGAACTGATAGTCGACAATTTTGGCTTTTTGTACTACTTACTACCAGCGCGAGTTGTGATTGGCCACTGCCTTTCCTCTTTCTGCTTTTCCGTCGAGGTGTGAACGCGCTCTAAATCCATAAGCAACAAGAGAGTAGAATGTAGGAAATGGATTTCAACCATTCACTTACGCACTTACTTTATGCCCTATTATACTGGCAAATCAGCTTAAGCCCATGGCACATACAAAAACGTAAGGCCGTAATACGTAAGCAGTAAAGAAATCGTAAGATTGGATTCGCTACTGGCCTTACGGTCTCTATCGTGATTGGCCAATTCGCTTACTGATTATGTCTTACGGCCTTACGTTTTTGTATGTGCCATGGGCTTTAAGCTGCGTTCCGTTTCAATGGCACACACCATCCGTAACAGTAAGGGTGAAATCACACGGTGCGGAAAAGGACTGCAGAATAGAGAATGCGTCAATGAAGCAACCAATCAGAGCCATTCTGAATAGCGCTGATTGGTTACTTCAATGGGTGCGTTCAGCAGAACGTTCGTTTTGCAACTGTTGGAAGTTTCCTTCGCGCTGATTGGATCATACTTTTAGATCTAGAAGAATGGTCCTATCTCAGCAGACAATCATAAAACGGTTGCAAAACTGTTGAGTCTGCTGAACGCAGCCAATGACGCATTCTCTATTCCGCAGTCCTCTTCCGCACCGTGTGATTTTACCCTAAGGGTCCTGGCACACAAAAAACTTGAGGCAGTAATGGTGCGGTCCCATGATGCGGAATTGGCGGAACGCTCGTGATTGTTTTAGAAAAGACATATCGGTGGAGCGCAATTGACGGAATGCTTGCGATTGGACGGACATCGTTCCGCCAATTCCGCATTAAGTATACGTTCCGCACCATGGGACCGTGTATATACAGACCTAGTTTACATCGTGCACTTGATACGGATACCAACTAGTAACTTTCTACCGAGTTATTTTAATTTCGGCGATACGTGAAAACATATATATAATATATGCATTTAATCAATCATTTTGATGCATACTGTACCAATTTAGTCACATCATTCTTTGAATACGTCGCTGAAATTAAAATAATTTAATAGAAAGTTACTAGTTAATACCCGTATCAAGTGCACGATGTAAACTAAACCACAGTCCCCAATCCGTAATTCGCACCGGATGTCCGCAAAAGTATCTAGGGATTGCGTATGTATGGCAGATATTTCTCATGTAATCCGCAACTACGTGAAAAGAGAGTTCTAATGCAGTCTCGTGACGTCAGAAAACAGAATAACATATATCAAAGATTCATTTTGCACTTCTAATTTCAATATTGTTGTCAAACAAATTAATCAATTACTATTTATAAATTAAAGGTAGATAATGGCATGTTATTTTTGTTTGACGTCGGAGTGCAATCAAGTGCAATTGCGTTGCGTGCTTATACTATATGCTCCTTGTGTCCCATAGAGCCGCAAAATGCAGACGTGTAAATGTAATATTTTTTTATTTAACAGATTATATTGTTCATTTTTATTTTATTTTATAAGCAAACTATAGAATATATTTTTATTGATATATTTTTATTATAACAAAAGTTTTAATTAAACCGTCAAATTTAGTCAAGTAGATAAAATTAGGAAAAGCATTACTAGTAATAAATGGTAATTTTTACAGAAATTTCATGGGATTACGGCTCCATGTCGACTGTACTGTAACTTTCGAGCATTATAACTCTAAAAATACTTAATGAAAAAATATTTTATTATAGTGTTTTGAAAAGCTCTCGAGGTAAGCTACAAGAAAATGTAATAAAAAATAGGGGGTTCCGTTTAAAAAAGTCGATGTGAACTTAACCTGGTCTTGGCGATGCCGCCCAAGGTCAAACTGATTAGATTAGTAAATACATCATTTTAAACCTTACAATTTTTTTCTGAAACATTTTTCTCAAAAATGCTTCGTTTTCAAGATATTCGACTGTTTCCGGACTTTTTGAAGGACCCTGTATAATACATATTATGGTGCAAGATTTTACAAATCTTGCAGCATTGCTGTATGATATAATAAATCACGAAATAACTTCAAGTGTAGATTTGTTATTCTCCTATAGCATTAAATTTCTAAAATTTCAGTATATATTAAGATACAAATAAGTCTATAAATATATTGTTATTATAAAAAAATTATTTAATTACAGAATGCATTGGCTGTATGCTTATTGCATTTGCTTCAGCAGAAAAAGCAGTTTTGCAACTGTTGTAAAATTCTTGAATACGACTGGGTCTTGCTTTTGGTTCCTTACGGATCTAAATGTATACACCAATCATATTGAAGAATTTTGCAACAGTTGCAAAGCTGCTTTCTCTGCTGAAAGCCATTGATTACATTTACACGGCACCCTTAATCAGGTTTAATAACATCCGTAGTTATGAAACTGGCCAATCACAATCGTTCCATTCTTCCGAGGAACAGCTATGATTGGCCAATTTCATAACTACGGATGTTATTAAACCCGATTAAGCGTGTCGTGTAACAGAGATCTTGTTATTATTTTGCTGTTATAAGTGTCCCAAAATTCGCACATTCGGAGTACAGAATATGATACTTTATGCCAAAACAAATAACTTTTTCCTTTAACAAAATTACGTCTGACGAATAGTTTTTGCAGGAAAGCAGGTTAAAGTTAATAAATGAGCGTTTTTGGCTATGTGGTACTCAGGGCCGGCGCGCGTTTCTCACTTGTGGGTACCTAAGTCTTTGGCTAATATTGACCATGTTTACACTAGAGTCCGACCGAAACTTTTGTCGAAACTGAACCGAAACACTCGGCTACATATCAATTTCAACCGAAACTGAAATCAAAATTAAAAAATAGGAATCCTACAAAGGCATATGTATAGATATGTCCATATATCATATACTTTTTCTTCATATATATAATATTATAATTTATTGAAACAATTAAATTTCAGCCAAAATCGAAAACCGAAATTTCGATTGTGTGTCAATTTTGGCCAAAGAATATAAGTATTTCTTCTTCATAAACATCATAATTTAATTATTGAGACAAACACATATTAAAATTAATATTTATGAAGAAGAGCTATATGGTTTCAGTCGAAATTGACATGTAATGATTGTTCGTTTTCAGTTTTGGTAAAAGTTTCGGTCGGACTCTACACGGCAACCTTAAGCCCAGATCTGTAATAGGCTTTTAAGCCTTAAGCCATAAGAAATGGACGAATCACAGTTAATTATTCTCCTCGTATTCGACTGCAATTGGTCAGTTTCTTAAGGCTTAAAACACCTATTGTAGATCCGGACTAATCGAGTTTAAGGGCTACCGCAGACAAAAGTGTAAGGCGTAAACTTAAGCCGATGTGCCAATCAGGATATTGCTTTAAATCTACGTAATCTGATGGAAATAGAAATAGCAATCAACCGGTTAAAATTTGCCTTACGGATACGTTTACTGCTATTTTAACCTACCAGAAATTAAGTATTACCTATCAAAATATACAGTTTCTGATAAGTTGAAATTCTTATTCTCTGTTCTCTATTCCTTTGATTGTGCGCGGCCTCATAGAATCATTTCATCCTTGTTTTTCTGTCAGATTTTTCCGTTTTATGCAAAAACGCATCGAATAAGCCTAATTTCATTTTTTAGATGCGGGAGGCTAAACTGTGTAATTATCTTCTTTATAAATTGCAAGTATTACTATAATATAAACCATAATAATATGAAAATATTCAATAAGCATTACTATACAACGACAAAAAATGTTTCTCTTACGACTACGTTTACACAGCACGAGTTACGCCACAGTTATAATATCGATGTTATGAAACTGACCAATCATAGCTATTTCTCTAAAGAATAGAATAACTGTGATATTGTGGCCAGTTTCATAACATCGATGTTATAATTTCGGCGTAAATTGAGCCATTAATAAACATAATCAATATAATGTTCATATATATATATATATATATATATACAAAAAGCATATAGATTACACATTAAAATAAAATCAATACATAATTTTCTTCCAAAATCCTTATCCAAACCAATGATTACCCATGCATTCTCTAGTCCATTCTGTTTGACATAGCCAACACCAATGATAGCCACATCCTGCTCTTGTGCATACCATGTGCATGCAACCCCCTGCAAAATATACAATTTATTATTTATATAACAATATTTTTCCCTTTGGGAAATAAAATCTTGGAAATCAAATTATGGAATCCTGTTTTGTGTTGTATATTATTCCGTCATTGTCAATTAAGGTGCCTTTTCATGCTGATGCTCGACGCTCATTTTCAGTGTCAAAATAGGTGACGTGATAAAAATTGACGAATATCAAGCGTCAATTTTTATCACGTGATCTATTTTGACGCTAAAAATGAGCCGATGAGCGTCGAGCGTCAGCATGAAAAAGCACCTTTACTTTGAACGATTCCATCAAATAAAGTTTATTTTTAGATTTATGTTAGTGAAAAATTAATTTTGTACGTGTACCATCTCTTTCAGTAGGAGTTCTGCATTTAGGACAAGGTTTCGTAGATATCTGTATCGTTTTTTTGCTAGCTTCTTCCCATTTAGCCTATAAAATACAAGCGATAAATGAATTTTCAAAACAGAAGTGCCTTGTTTTCTGATAGATGTATTAAATTTAACTAACTTCGTTAGCTTTTAAGAGGTCTACTGAATAATTTCTAGAAGAAAAAACACTCGTGGCTGCTTCCGACGTTTGCGATTCACATTCTCCTACGTGATAACCTTGTAAACATATTCTGCAAAAAACGTACTGCAAAAAAAAAGATTAAATCAGACTTGAAGAATTACACTTGAGTCGAAACTACTGACTACACCGAGTCGAAAAGTTCTGTACTATTTTGCGGTGTCAGCAATAGTTAAGAAGATATTAACGTTTAAAGATAAGCGAATAAGAGCGTCCGGCCGGCTTACTGCCGCCGAATGTACAACCCACTGATCGCACGGCGCGCGGGCCACTGGGAGCGGGGATGGCCTAGCAGGCGCGCCACGTAAGTCGGAAGTCCATAAGCAACAAGAGAGTAGAACGTAGGAAATGGATTTCAATCATTCATTTATGGACTTACTTTACGCCCTATTATACTGGAAAATCAGCTTAGTCCCTATGTGTCTTACAGCCTCACCACTACTGCTACTGCTCGTTGTAGACTGCTCATCTGTAGCCCTTAGGACTTCCGACTATCGACTCATTTACTATGTTTACACGGCATCCTCAGGGCCTCGGCACAAGGATAGTTGTAACTGAGTCGTGAAACGTGATTCGTAGTTGTAGGTCAATGCACAATATTTTGTCAATCTACAACTACGACTTAGGTTCCATGACTCAGTTATGGTCGCTTTGTGCTTAGGCCCTTAATCGGGTTTAATAACATATGTAGTCATAAAACTGACGAATCATAGCTATTCCTGTGAAAAACGGAATGACTTTAATTGGCCAGTTTCATAACTACGGATGTTATTAAACTCAATTAAGAGTACCGTGTAAACGTAATCATTAGTAGGTAGAAGCCCGGTATGTTATACTGAAGGAGACAATCTTTCTCATCGATTTAGCTCAAACATGATAAATTTTCCAATACCACAACAAACATCAAGTTTTAATACTTAATACTTTTTTATTTGCTTAAAAACGATTTTTTTTTCTTTCATATTCGTTTTCTACATACCAAAACACAAGATCGTAAATTTGAGCCAAATCGGTGAGAAAGATCGTTTCTATCAATATTACTGATTTTAATTTATATTTGCTTAAAAAAATTTCACACATACTGAGAAGCCCGAAAGTACTTGGTAACATTTCATAAAGTTTTCCTCTCTCTTTCTAATGTAGGATTTAATTTAAATCCATGTAAAAAATTATAATTAAAAAATGTGCAACTTGTACCACAATATGCAATTGAATACAAAAGATGAAAAAATGTGTAAACAAATTTTTTAGAACGAAAATGTTATATGCAAAGAGTTACTTACGCCACATCCACCGATGCATTGAATTTTCCGGCATTCTACATCATCTTTCGTAGAAGGTGGTATAATACCCATCCCACAGTTTGGTCGTGGACACAAAAGGCCACCAGCACGTAAAACATATTCTTCTGCACTAAATCTCTGATATCTTTCATACTGCATATTATTATACATATACATATACTATGAAGATATGTCAAAAAAACTTAATTTAATTTAACAAATATATAAAATGACATATTATACTATTGACCTGTTCCATGTTAAGGAGATGAAAATGATGAATTTGATGGATAAAAGAATTGGGGCATCCAGCAGGGCAAGACAATGTATAATATCCCTCGGTAGTATCGAATTCAAATTGTCGCTCATGTAAACGAACTGTGCAATATTCACGAAAGCAGTCAAGACAAGTTACATGACCAGCCTCGCATGGAAATACCAGCACGGTATCTCTAGATAACAAAATATTGGTATTAGTTATCATCTAAAGTAAGTACTCTTGATGTATTATATTTTCGCACTACTAAGCATACCTGATATCCGTGCAGGCTAGACAAGGAATATTCCTCAAGTTTGGCTTTATAAGATAAAGGGGTATAGCTTCATCGTTCTCTCCTAAACTGGGATGCTTAGCGCATTTAAAATAAAAATGAGCATAATTAACTTGATTCTCCGTTTGGTCACTAAATATACTTGAAGTTACAGGGCAAAAATCACTTTCGCAATGTATGGATATTCTCCTTGGTTGCAACACATCTGGCCAACATTGAGGATCTCTGTCAACAGTTACAGCACCGCTACCGCATCTTGCACATTTGACCCTTAATTTACCTGCCGTCACATCTTTGCAGGGAGCTGAACAATATACATAAAAATGTGCTCGACTTTCCTGCTGCTCTGTCAACAATAATAAGATGATGAATTAATCATCCTTGATTTTCATTGTTAGTACTTGTAGAATTAATCATAGTAATTACACAGAATAGGTCTTACGAATAGCGCAGCTTAAAAATCAATAAAAATAGGCTCATTCGACGCGTTTTCGCACGTAACGAAAGAATCTGGCAGAAATAAGCGTCGTTCTGTCTCGCGAGCCGAGATATTAAGCGTTAAAGTTGACTACTAATGAGATTAGAAAAGTCTCTAATTTTATTGATTTTTAAGCTGCGCGGCCTATTCTGTATAATTACCTTAATTCATCATTTAGACTAATATCGTTGCCACCTTCCGAGGATAAATTCGGTCGATCTGATTCATCCAAGGGTAAATCCATAAGTGTCTCGTTCATGGGTTTGCTACCACTGTCGTTGAAATTGGATGTCTCTGATGTAGATTCCTCTATAAGACTTACATTCGCTCTCCTTTTATTTTGCATTTTATGGGGCGTTCGTACTGCATGTAAAATGCTCTGTTGTCCTAAATCACACTCCTGCGACGACGTTAAATATAAATGAATATTGTAATCTCAGATATACAAGTAGAAAAATAATTTTATACACACGTGTACATAAGCTAGCTCTCACCTCTATTATTATTGAATCGTGCAGTTCTTTACCTGCAAATATAATTTTAATGTCTTCCGGCGCTATCCCCATCCGAGGAGCAACGATCTCCTTTAGATTTTTTATATCCCATTTGGGATCTAACTCGACGGACAGAGTATTGCCCGTATTCGTTTTAATGTATATGCTTAAAGAATTAGACATCTTCTGTTTGCCAAACCAAAATAATCGCAACATTCCGAGAAACGCGTTTTTCACTAAATTAAACAATAAGCTCATAATTCTCGTATCACGTATGTTTCGTGTGAGCAGTTGAGCATGTTTTTCTTCTTCCTCTTTGGCCCTGCGCACAATAGAAGGAACGTAATGTAAGGATGCGTTTCCACTGAGCGCGTCACGCGTCGCGACTGTCACGGATTAACCAATCAAAATGTCCCATTTTATTGCATCACTTGACGCGCGACTCAATGGGTGCATTCAGTTCTAACGGAATATGCGCTCAGTGAGCGCTTGCATCTTATTGGCATATTCCGTTAGAACTAAAAATATAGACCAAACAGATACAAGAGCTCACTGAGCGCTCAGTGAGCGGTCGTGGTACTGAATGCGCCCTATAGGTTTGTTCGCGTCGCATGCTCCGACATGTTCCAATATGCTCCTACCGTAGCTCCTACTCATTGGCTGCGTTCAGCAGACTCAACAGTTTTGCAACCGTTTCATGATTGTCTGCTGAGATAGGACCATTCTTCTAGATCTAAAAGTATGATCCAATCAGCGCGAAGGAAACTTCCAACAGTTGCAAAACAAACGTTCTGCTGAACGCAGCCATTCCAACGCGCTTGGCAGAGTGAGTAGGAGCTTTAGAGGGTAGGAGCGCGTTGGAGCGCGTTGGAGCGCGTTGGAGCTTGTGACGCGACAAACCTATTAGTAGGTCTGTTCGCGTTGCATGAAATCCCCAAATATTTTTGCACTTAAAATGAGATAGATATATATTTGGCCTTGAAAAGAGAGAAAGCAAAGATGTCGAGTGCCAAAAGTGTAAGCAACGCGAACAGACCTAATGATGGCGTCTCCTCGACCCAAGTCACCTCGAACCCCTGTTTCCACGAAGAAAGAGGACAAGGAAGAAAGCTTTTGGGATAAAATCGGAACTCTCGGACGGAAGAAACGTATCAAGGAAGGTGCCGTCTAACTCTCATGTGGTTCAATCACGCGAAATTTGCACGTACTCGGTTACGTCATTTTCCGATGAAGCTTACACCCTTATATGGAGCGAGACAGTGTTTGACAAATGAAGAAAATTGGAGTTGTCTGAAAATAGAAAAACTTTTCATTTTAGTTTATATTCTTCTTAGATCAATCCATTGCATGGCGTTTACTATATAGATACATCTATAATTTTCGTACACTGTAAAAATTTTTTAATTATCATTTCAATTATACATCTTAAATGTTAAAGAATGAAGGTTGCAACTTGAAGGATTTACGTGTAACGAGACTACTTAACATTTTTTTTTTAGTGAAAGATGTTCAGGACGAAGGAAAATACGCAATTGATTCACCTGGATATGCCGCTAATCCTGACATGCCACCGGAGGAGTACGCTCTTGACGAGAACGAAGAACGTTCCATGATAGAGCCGAAATCTTTAGAAGATTCTAAGCTACGAGAATTGATATTCGTCGTGATCGAATGGATCAATGACGAATTAGCTGATCAGCGCATTATTGTGAAAGATATCGTAGAGGATCTTTACGATGGGCAAGTGCTACAAAAACTTTTAGGTATAAATATATGCTTACGATTACAAGGTAAAAAATTACAAGGTAACGATACTCTGCTCAAAATTCAACATTTTTTTTAGAAAAACTAACTGGGGAGAAATTGGATGTACCCGAAGTAACTCAATCTGAGGAAGGACAGAAGCAAAAACTTGCTGTCGTTTTGTCCGCTGCTAATCGTGTCCTGGGTCGATATCCACCTTGCAAATGGAGCGTTGAATCTGTACATTCGAAAAATATTGTTGCGATTTTGCATCTGCTGGTTGGTCTAGCACGACTCTTTCGTGCTCCCGTTAGATTGCCAGAAAGAGTTGCCGTTCAAGTAGTTGTAGTACGTAAAAAGGACGGTCAGTTGATACATAGAACAGTGAGAGAGGAACTAACGACAACGTACGACGATTTGGGTATGCGTTGCGAGCGTGATGCATTCGATACTCTTTTCGATCACGCACCCGACAAATTGGCCGTTGTAAAAAAAGTAAGCCAACTATGACGATTTTATTTGTGACTGTTCTTCCTCTTTCTGACATTTTCTATCGTCAATTCTTCTTTTTCAGTCACTGGTAACATTTGTTAACAAGCATTTAAGCAAAGTACATTTGGAACTAACTGATTTGGATACTCAATTCCACGATGGTGTTTTCTTAATTCTGCTGCTCGGTCTCTTGGAGGGTTTCTTTGTTCCATTAGGCAGCTTTCATTTGACACCAAGAACCATTGATCAAAAAGTTCATAACGTTTCATTTGCATTTGATATTATGCGAGATATTGGGCTACCAAAACCAAAAGCTCGCCCCGAAGGTTTGTAATTTCTACTAGTCGCTAACATTTCTAATCTTACAATTTTTTTTATTTTATACGTTTAAACGTTTCTCTTACAGATATCGTAAATCTGGATCTGAAATCTACGCTTCGCGTGTTATATAATCTCTTTACGAAATATAAGGGGATGAATTAATCAAATTGATGTATTCAATCGATTAGCTTTATGCGCAAATGTTGTATTACTAAAGTTGATAGTCTAATTATTCTAACGATCGCGAAGGGATTCTTGTTAAACTGCCATTGAAGAGCCATTTATAAAAATAAATTTAATGTTTGATCTGAGTTTTTCAGCTGTACTTTTCACATTTTATTAAGTGTTTTAGTTTTAGGTTTTTTTTTCTTTTAAACTAATACAAGTAGTCGATCTGACAAATGAAAATGTAGAAAGAGACGTAGAAATGTATAGCTAAAACAGAAGATTTTACGCATATATGCGCGCGCGCGCAATAAACTGTATAACGTGCCCTTTTACATTCGTATAAAGTTAATATATTTTATATAAATAATATTTATCTCACAATTTAGATTTGTAACAATGTTATTAAATAAGTATGTCAACCGTCATGTGTTTTCTTACTTATTATGCTTACAAAGTATATGAACGGAGAATCGCATCATGAACCTCTAATACAATTTATCATCACATTTTCTAATATGTACTAAACAAAGGAGACTAAATAATTAAATATAATATGTAGCATCAAAGCATTTGGCATCTTAATACATATATGCGATGCATATAACGTGAATATTAGCCGTTCACCCCTTACTCTCCTTTGGAATTGTGTCAACAGCATCTGCCGTACCTGCCGCCGTCGCGTCGTTCTGAAACGATCGATCGGGCACGTACGTGACAGCTGTCCATTGTCTTTCTTTTTCTCTAGTGAAAACGAATATTTGGTCTCGTGATTGTGCACGAGATGCAATTCGATACGGGATCATTGAATATCGTCTATATATAATACGTGATATATGTATTGTATATAGAGAAGACCGGCATATCGCGCGCCAGCGCGAATATTCTTTCAGATATTCTTTTTTCTCTGCGTATTTTTCACTCGTATCGATCGTAACTTTGACTATTCAAATCTACACTTTTACGGTACACTATTTCAATGCTATTTCTTAATTAAAACTGAAATCGCAATAAATTAATAAAATTATTTGCATTTTCTCTCTCTCTTACGTTGCGTTTTCTCATAATCATGTATATCGCGCGCGCGTCTAGTCAGAGTTTTTCCGTATATTATAGTATAGTATGACGACACTTCGAAACGCAAGTACTATTATATACGTATGTACATGTAATATTATAAGGAAATGAACGTAAACGTAACGTACGTTTCCCTGTCTTCTCAGGGAAACTTTAGATTTTTTAAGCTTTCAATTATTTTCCTTGCAATTAACGTTTCATTTAATTCATTATTATTTCTTGAATTTAAATAATTGTTGCTATCTTTGTACATTTATAACTTTTAACATTTTCACTGCAATTTCGATAATCCGATCCAATGATACAGAAATTGACGGGCGGACAGTTGATAGAGAGAAAAAAAAAAGCTACGTTATATGCTACGTTTAAGTTAGACGGCTCTAACGGTGATAGCGTAAAAATAGTCGTTACGACCTGATAAGAGTTCCAACTTCCAAGATGCAATTCGTGGAATACGCTTCCAAAGCACGCGATGTCGCGCGACACGGACGACTCGGACTTGGTATCTCCAGTCTTCTCTTGACTTAAAACGCTAGACGATCACGGGTCACGGCTCACGGCGGCAACGAGAGAGAAAGAAAGTTAGCGAAAAGTCGCGTACGAACACTTGCGCAGCCCAGCGCAGCCCAGCGCAGCCCAGCGCAGCCCAGCGCAGCCAGCCGTGCTCTATCAGCAATTAAGTAAAGCTGAGTAAAGCTAGTTTTTTCGCTCGCGTGCCGCACGTTTTAGATGCGCCGCGTCTGTTCTTCTGGATTGCTCGACTCTTGATTGACACGTTGTAATTGTGCTTCTCTTAAAGCGTGCTTTCCTTCACTTGACGTGCTTTGCTCATCGTCGTTAAGCTTTCTTCCTGGCATATTCAGCAGTCTGCACTGCATCCGGCGGCGGTATATTTGGCGGAGGTATTATTGAACTTGTCACATGAAACGTGTCGGAATGAATTCCTTTCAATCGAAATTATTCCTTTTTCTCGAGAAAACTCAATAGAAATCTAGAGAATAATTGAATAATTCCGATTGGAATCCATTCCGACTCGTTCCGTGCGACACGATCGGTGCCCTGTGCCCCCTGTATCGAAGCAATTGCAATTCTCATGGTGCGACGTACGCACCACTTCTCAGCTGAAGGAAAGCACGCTTTAAGAGAAGCGCAATTACAACGCGTCAATCAAGAGTCGAGCAATCCAGACGCGGCGCATTTAAAACGTGCGGCACGCGAGCGAAAAAACTAGCTTCACTGTCAGGTGTCAGGATCGTATCGGATGCTCTCAGGAGTCCACCTGTCCACTGGCAGAGCGATGTCGACTAGCGGTTCGTCCAGCAAGTCTCTCGACGATGTTGAAATTGAAATTGTCGTTGATACCGAGACTCGTAAAACTAGTATATTCGCGCTCTACGCAAAGATATTTCGACTTCTTCTTACGGCGCAGATACCAAATTTTAGTCTCCTTAGCGAAGAGCTACGTAACAAAGAACTCGAAAAATTGATATTGCCCAGCGATGAAGAATGGCGTCACCGAGTTTATCACAGTCTCGTCGAATTGCAAAGGGAAAAAGACGCTGAGCCAGCTCAAGATAAAAGGTAACGTGTACGAAACGTCACGTCGTATAACGTGAAAGATTTACTAATGTATATATGTAGTTAATGTGTGTATATATATATATAGTATATATGTTTAGTGATTTTAGTCAAGTTCAAACAACGTCCAGTTTTTCTACCGATGTAGATAAACTTTAATCTCGATTTAATTTATTCTCCATTCTTTTCTAAAATTTTCTTAAATTATATAGAATTGAAAAAGTAAGTTAAACTAAAAGATATTATTTATTATAAAGTTAATAATCTATATTGGTATAGAAAACGGACATTACAGGGATCGAGCTTTTTCCAACGAGAGACACAATAAGATATATCGACGCGAGAGTCATTCTGTTTTTATCTTTTATTCAATATATCGAACGAAGATTGAAAATGATTTCGTGCGTCGATGTATGTGCCTTACTGGAAGCTGCGCCCTAATTGCCCCTAATTAATACTATACTAGAAGAGCGTACACACACACACACACACACACACACACACACACACACACACACACACACACACACAAATGTACATTAGACTGAGGAGGTGAAAAAAAAAACTTTTTTTTTAATCGGCCTTTCATCTCAAAAGCTTCCATCTTATGTCAAAACAACACCCCTAAAAAGCTGTGAGATAGGCATAATTAAGGATATAGGTACAATTATCTATAATTCGAATAGAGAGAACCATACAGGGATCTTTTGTTTGAGGATGGAGGATTCTAAACGGCGCATGACTCGCAAGAATTCGCAAGATTGGGAATGGCGTCCTACGGGAGCCAGGGAAAAGGGACATCTTCCGAAAGGTAGAAGAGACGAGAGTAAGAATATCGTCGGTTCCTCGAATGCTGTATCGGAGACTAGCGCGGACGGCTCGATGACGGAAGCTCGCATCGAGCCGGGCTGGCGTATCAACGATATCCTTTTAGCGGCCAAAGTTCTGCAAAATGCACGACCCTCGCCAAATTATGCCAACGAGGCCGAAATGAGACGCGTCTTTGGTTTAGTATACGACGTTCTGAGATGTGAGATATTATATTATACAATAGTTTTCAAACGCGCGGAAAAAAGTTTTTTCACCTCTTAATTGTCGAACGCGAAAAATCAGCTTCTATGATTTTCCAAGAAAACACTAATGTATATTACATCAACGATTGTTACAATCCGCGATCAACTTCCGTTGTAAACGTTGCAGATAAAAACATCTTGAACCGTACACTCGAGGACGGTGGTTTTTGGTATAGAAACGATGCTTTGAAACAACGAGAACGAGAAGTCTGGTTGCTATTGTATGATATGCAGGGAAGAAAATTTGCCCATCGACGTGGGAGCGCGTGCGAGACTCGAGAGAAAATATTCGAGGTTTGTTGCAATCCTCCTTTCTTTCAAAATTCTTCTTATATTCCCTTCTTATAATCCCTCGTCTCTTCTTATCTAAGGTACCTGAGCCGAATAAGGCCCAGGCACTTTTAAATTTATTACTTTAAAACTCGCTTTATACGCCTGCGCTATATGCTTAAAAGATGTGTCACAGGAAGTAGATAAAAAAGGATTAAAGAATTGGAATCGATAGAGCAACACGTTTGTTTAACACAACAAAAACTTGTGTGTGTATGAGGCTAGTATGAGCCATTTTTATAACAATCCGCTGCAAAATTTACCAGTGTACAATGTTTCATGATTTCCTATAATTCATTATAATATTATTCAACTTCCTAACTATGGAAAGTAACTAATAAATAATTTTTTTGAAATAAGAGTATAAGTATTTTTTTTAAACATCTACTTATTAAACGAGGCCCACTTGTGTGATTTTTATTATAGCTATTATTATTATTTGTTTGTTATGTGTGGAGTTTACGCCAGAGAATAACAATTTTCACTATATCTTTGCTACTATATCTTTTAAGAAGCTAAAATTGCATTCAAATTGCTAAAAATTTTCAAAGATTGAAGAATTAATTGCAAACAAAATTAAAGATAACTGTAATATTTGAGGGTAGAGTAAGTCTCCTAAGGAATTTCTCCTTTCTATGATTAATAATGTTTTTTTAATCATTTTAAAACTGATTTAGAAAGAAAATGTTTACTTTCTTTGTTGTTTTTAATTTATTTTTTATTTGGGCTTTATTATACTCATATGTATGTAATAAGGCCCAATGTCAGAGTTTAATAAAATTTTTTGTTCGTTTATTTATATATATTCTATATAAATAATATATTTTATTTTTGAGAGTGAATGAAATGAAGATTTGATTCTCACTTAATTTATTTCAATATCTCCATAAATAGAGAATTTAAAAAAAATAAAATAAATTATATATTATATATAGGTGGGCCTTATTCGGCTCAGGTACCTTATATCTCGGTGCTTTTTTTCTATAAACTTACTTGTATAAAAAAGACGTTATTTATACTATAATTTATGCTTGTGAATGCTCTCAGTAAATTAAATTAATCAACATTTGTGCTTTAAAGTAATCTCAAACATACATACATGCGACAATACGTGTATACCGTACGATGAAAATAATATTTTGCTGATATTTGTATCAATTTAACACTATAACCAACGCGAATGCGTTAACATCCTTTATGTGCTGTTTCAGACTGTCGGACTAAAAGACATTGAAGATGCACTTTTGAAAGCAAAAACACATTTAGCGGCTA